CGCGGGTTCAACTCCCCCCTGGGACGCTTCCGGTACGTGCTATAGTGCTATGTTTAAGGGTTCAAGGCTTCAATGATGAGCATCACGGGAAGTCAGAAACCAGGCGTATCAGATACACGTGCCTTTGAGCTTCCTTCGGCATCTCAGTGCATAAGTGCATATGGCTGACACTTCACTCGACAAAGATGCTCAAACAAACATACATAAACCAGGTGTATCTGACACGCCTGGTTTGTGACTTCCCGTGATTCAACTGTTGGATCGTCATGTATATGTAATGAGGGACTGAAGAAAAGCAACCAGTCCGGATGCACCCCTGCTAGCTTTCGTCACCTACCCTCGGCCTCAAGTCGAGCCTTTCCCGAAGCAACAAAATGGCTCCTGTGGGTCATTTTCAGGGCCCCCCATTTGATCCCAGGTGTGAAGGACAGCAACGGTCGAAACTTGTGAGGCAGACGTAATAGTATATTATATATATATGACATCAGACCCATGCCTTTTTAAAGATCTTTCTTCGACGGAACCACAAAACCACCGCGCCGAAACGCATGGGTTCTTTCATGCTGCATGCTCCGCCCCATCTTGCGAGGTCCAAGTGGTTCTTGGAGTCCAAATCGTCCAAGACGAACCCCAAGCGGAACTGGTACGTTTGGCATCCAGGCTTGGGGAGACCGCTGTGGGAAGACATGTTTTTGCATCCTTTTTTTTCTGGCCTGGTGAGACAGACACTTTCTGAAACTCAGGAAGCTGAAGGTTCTTCGCTAGGAATTTGGGAGAAACGGAGAGACCAGTCACGGAGCCCCACTGGAATTTTTTTCTGTCCACTTGTTTGGGTTCCCTGATTTCCCAAGAAATTGTGGCAACAGATCACCCGCCCTCCAAAAATGGCCGAGGAAACCCCCGTCTGTTTGTGGTGGAACACTGGCCAAAGAGCTTCCGGAACCTCGACAGAAAAAGACTTTCCGGATGCACTGGAACTGATCTGTCGCGGTGTGTGATTGATGTCCGTTGCCCGCGGCAGGTGTTGAGGTCAATGGCACTCGCCAACCGCCCAACAACTGGGCATCCAACTTTGGTGGCGGTGCAGGCGGGGACACGTGAACGATCACAAGCAGATGCAGGTGGATCACCGATGAACCGAATCGTTGTGCCCAGCGGTGGGCTTTTAGTAAAGTATCCTAAATCCTGTGGATCAAAGACGGGAAAGGGCTTTAAAGTTCCATCCCAAATGGATTTGCTTTAAACATCTTTTAACTGTACACAAATTTTCATTGATGTGTTACGTTAGTAAGAGTTTTAGTAAAACCACACTATATATATATAAATGGGTAGTTAAACTAAGTCTATCCATTTATATTAACTTAGCAAGAAAACAATCGCATTGTTTGAATCAAAGTCAACCAACATGTAAGGAACCATTAGGTAGTAAAACAATCGAAGATACCGAGTTTTAATTTGTTTGACATTCAGCAATTTTGATTAGAACAGTATACTATAAATATAAATACAAATGGGCATTTTGTTAAAACCACATTTTTCCCTATTTATGACTCAACCATATATATTTGATTGTTCATTAAACCCATATTAAAAAAGAATCGGATCGCATGCGTTTTTCATTTCCTGACCTATTAGTGGCCATCTGATTTGTTGTTGATCTGCGGCAAGTACTTGTTTTGACTCCTGAATCAAATGGGTGCCAGGATAGTACTGTGTTGCACCAAAGCCAGTGGTTCATGTTTTTTCCTTGTGTTTCTCCCAGTAGATAAGCTCACGGCTGAAATCATTTGGGGGAATTTGTGAGGTCGAGCCACGGGATGCGCTTTTTGTTTTGTGCTAACATTGAAACGGTTGGTTTCTTCCCGTCGACTGGTGCCTGCACTGGACCCATCTGCAGCCGCCAGTCGAAGACCAGTGTTTCTGGACCCAGATACACTGGACCCATCTGTTACTCAAGTAACGTTGTCGCCAAATTGATAAGCACATGATATCCGTTACATGTATGGGAGGGAAAACACATAAAAGTGTTACTATGTCAGTGATCACAAAAAGGGCACGTGAAATCCCCTTCTGGGCCCACTCCATCCGGATTCGCCCTCGACGGGCCGTGGGCTTTCGTCGGCAGGATCTGCTTGGACCTGGGATTCCAGCACCGAGGACGAGGGATGAGGGACCAGGGGCGATCAGGGGGTCGATGAAACCTGGAGAACCCAAAAAGTTTGATGCGGAGTCAACAGGAATGCAACTCCCCCTCAGATTGAGGAAACCAAAATGAGTTTGGAACATCATTATGAGAACATAGTGATCTTGGAGATGCACACGCGAACTTGGCAATTTTACAGTGTTGCATCTTGTTTTTCCTTTGAAATACGGATCCTGGAGGTTCCTGAACTTTCAGGTGGTACAAGAGAACCTGTCCATCTTGTCCGCACCGGTGCCGCAGCCGTGCTGCATCGAAAACGGCTGGGCCGTGGAAACCACCGACGGTGAGGAGTATTACTACCATGCTTTTGGCGAGTTTCAGCCCGACCTGAACTACCGAAATCCTGAAGTGGTGGAGGCCAGCACTCTCAGAGTCGGTGGCTGGGGGAAGTGGGGAGTTCGAGAGGGTGTGTCTGAGCTGGTTCAATGGGTTCAATGCTGAAAGTCGTACATGCCCGAACTGCAGTGATAGATCAACAACTGTTTGTGAAACTGTCCCAAACTAAGGAATTCTCGCCAGAACTGGCCAATTCCAGCCTGCAGGTTTGTTCATGGGAAGGGGCTCACCGATGCAAGTTCTGTGACTGATACACAACAATTATACAGATTAAGACATGGAAACATCGCTACTAGGAGCAAGGGCAACGCTACTAGGAGCAAGGGCCTTACTAGTAGTAACAAGAAGCCACTTGAAACAAGAATTAAATAACACTGTGAAACCCTCCTGTGCTGCCTCAGTCACGAGGCGATGCAGGAGGTGCTCCGCTTTTGGCTTCGCTTGGGAGCTGGGGAACTCAATGATGGCTGACCGCGGCAAAAGCATCTCACAGCTCCCAGGCCAGTGGAAGCTGACCCTGTTATGTGGGAGATGGGTCTTAAGGAAACTAAGGGAAGAACTTGCATTTTCTTAGTAAGCAAGCTCTTGCACCTGTTTGATCTTCGATTTCAATCAAGTTCTTATGAATTATGAATTCTTAAGCTTCCCAAAAGAGACCTCTGAAGTCTTGTTGAGCGCTCTGAGCGAAGCGGCCGCTGCAGTGGCGGCCGCTGGAGGTTCAAGGACTTTCCTTCAAACAGATGTTAAGTGGAAGAAGCCTTCGTGATTTTCACAGATCCGCTGCATAAGATTCAGGATTCAAAGACATTGAACTTATTAAATCTTCTAGGGTTTTTGGGCCGACTCAGTGCTGAATTCGTGAGAGCTGGAACCTATCGAAGATCACCTCCACCTTCGATGGTTGGACGTCCTCCACGTCTAATCTTCAGACGCTAGTGTGCTCTTGAAGAGTGCTGTCAATCACATACTCACCACTCCCCTCTTCCCTTGCAGATCATGGTCGAGATTGGAGGCCATCGCTATTATCGCTATTCGGTTGGAGGCCATCACTTGGGCCGAGATGAATGTATATAGATAAGTCATGATAAGATATGCTAAGTCTTCTTCTATTCTCCGGGGACAACTATCACTGATGAATTACTTCCCATGTTGCTCAAAGTTCACCGCAGAACGGTGCGAACTATCACCAGCACATGATCCATTCCAAATGCACTTTGGCTATGACCATGGCACCGCCTGCGAACTGGATGGTGACCAGTGCAATACCATAGATGTTTGATTTCTTTCTCATGCCAGTTGCGGTACAAAGACATGCCCATGTACAATCCAAGATCCATCTGCTGACAGTCGGGAGCGACAGTCTGTGGCATCTGCAAGTTCGTGACAGTCGACCAACACACAGATTTGTCCAGGCGAACTTCCTACTTCCTACATGGCCATCCTTGCCCCACCTGCTTCGGCAAGCGGGTGTGTAGGTGTAGGGATCTGCAAGTCCGAGTGTGTAGGATTTTCGAAAAAACACGTGTTTTTTTCGAACCACATTCCCCACCGAAAGTCATGAACCTTGGACTTACGCCGTGAACATCCGTCAACGCCTCGGTCTACCAGGTGTTGGCCGTAGACGTCGGTTGCTGCCGCCGAGACGTCGCCGAGGCCGGAGGCTTCCGAATCGACGCAGTGCCCTTCCTGCTGGAGGACATGCAGCTGCGGGACGAGGCGAGGCTGTGGGGTGCGCGGTGAGTCTGTGAAGCAACTTGAACGATCAACCAGCTCGTCTCAACCAAGAAAGATCTTCAACATTCTTCAACTGTCAACCACCAATTATATGTCTGAAAAATATTGAAAGGATCAACTATCAGTAATGTCCTTCATTTCAATCCTGACCAAGTCGGCGGTTGTGATCTTTTTTCAGGAAACTAAGAGCTTTTGGCCACAAGAGTGGGCCGCTTACAAAGGTTGCTCCATGTATATAGATGTGGATTGTTTTAGCATTATTTTAAACCTCCCTCAAGGCTCTTGGAAGCAAATCTCAAAGCATTCCAAAGATGAGTTGCTCAATTGTAATGCGGGTTTGCTTGAACCGGCGGCAGGGAATTGTGCCAAGAGGCATTACAAGAGGTCAAGGTAGGTAGGACAATACAGTGCTCGTTCGCACCGTCTCTCAACTCCCCTTCCAAAAAAGCTGCTGCTGACAGGCGGGGTAGACTCGCTATGCATTGCATTCTTGTCTTGTGGACTGTGTCCAACCAACTCTTCCTGCCCAGACATCAAGTCATGCAGGCGCTGAATGAGAGCTGTGCCAAGACTCAGATGGCCTGGAACTGCATGTGGCCTGGACTGGAACATCAACACAGATCCTCCAAAGAAAATCGGGTTGATGAATCCTGCACCACCTTAAACCATCGGCTCACCCTATGGTTTGGCGGAATTGACCGTGGATTGTTAGGGCCTTGGGTGCAGAATTCAGTCCATCACTGGAACCTCCTCACGTTTATATCAAGGACTTTCCTCTGGCGCAAAACGTGAAGTTACCAGCTCGGGCGGGCGCCACTGGTGGGGTGTGCCGGAAGCGGAGCTTCCAATCCGGGTCGAGACGGCAGTGTCTCCGGCAGTGGGAAGGAACCGAGGTTCCACTCCACTGGAGGACTCTGGTGAGATGGGACAACTCTCGGAAGGAGCCGACAGTAGCTTCATGCTGACACAGCGACGGCCAGGCGATCGAACGGCGACGGGCCAGGCGATCGAAAAGTCTGGGGACCACCTCATGCCATAGCCATCCCATCCGCCATCCTAGCTATGCGGGACAGAATGGACTCTTCAGGACTCAACATCTTGGACTCTTCAGCAAAATCTCACGAGGTTGCACTGTTCTTGGGATCCTCACCCAACCACATGCGGGTTGCCCTGAGGGTGCACAACTACACCAACAACAATCCGCAGAACCATGAGATCATCCAGGGCTGGCGCAAAACGGTCGAAAGCTTAGTGGAAGCAGTGCACTTGGAAAACACGCTGGATTCTTCCATTTCGCATCAGAAACACTGAGAGAACGTACCAAGCAAATAAAAGCGCCTGGCGGGTCTTCTGAGCATGGCACCAGTTTTTCGCATGTCTTCAACCTGGCTGGGATATCCTTGGCGGGGCGTGGTGGAGCTATGTTGTCTACAAACACGGACACAGCGGAGACAGCTTTGGAGGAGATGTCCAAGACATGACCAAGACATGGACGAGCTGGTTCCATGAGCAAGCAAAATGCGGTGCTTAGGTTTATGACACCATGGACATGAATATGCGTCAATATGAGGGGATTCCCAACGAAGAGCTTTGCATCTACTCACCAAAGCAATGCCAGGAGGGGTTCCTATGTTGAGATTCTCCATGATCTCCATGTGAAGCTCAAGCCCATTTGACCTATGTACATTTTGACCTATATCCATTCTGCTGATGGAGACCACCGAAGCCCAGAAGCTTCACCGCGACCCCGCCGACGGACCCGCGACCGGTGGACGGACCGAAGCCTCCGCGGTCGCCGCTCCCCTCCTGAGGTGGACGAGTTCGAGGGCCGCGTGATGTTTGGCGAGATCTACGCGCCCTTGAAGGACCTCATGCAGTACTATGGCTCCTTGGAGCGACTGAGATGTTGGGGCGAGTGAACTGGAGCGACTGAGAGATGCGAAACGTGACCCACTAAAAAACCATTCCAACTTACATGCTTTTGCACGAAACTCGGGGGAGAAGCGCGACTGCAGGTACACCCGAGAAGCCCGAGTTCAATGTGCCCTTCAACTTCGAGGTATGACTTCAACTGAAAACCATAGCATGAATTGGACCAAAATGGCATGAATTGGATAGATATCGGATGGATATTTGATGTTTGACCCCTTTAAGTGCTATTGGCACCTTCTGGACCCAGAAGAGGGGCCTAAATTCATTGCACAACTCTGCGAGGCTGCAGCTCCCTCTAGGCGGAGATCCCTAAAATCCCTGCAACATTGCCTAAAAGCCTGATGCATTTCTTCGTGGTTTTTGGCGAACCGCCGGGCTTCGCGTCCACGAGAGACGTCGCAGGTGCTGGGTGCAGACTTCGGCGAGCCCAATGACCTCCGGCAAGCGCCCATCGTGCGCCGGGCCGTGCGCGCATACGCCGCTGCCCTGCCGGAGACGCTGCTGATAGACGGTTGGGGGCCGCTGGTGAGGGTGACCCCTAGGAAGTGCTGTGAAAGGACGAGAATCTTCAATGTTTAAGATCATTTTAAGGAACAGTTGGCATCATTTTGGGGTTGGTTGTGCAATTAAACCTTTTTGCTGTTTCCATTGCCTGCCTGCACAAGCATTCACCGCCGATGGCCGACTCGCACCGGTTGCGGTGTGTGCTGGTAACAAATGGATAGGCCACCATGTCCTCCGTATCATGACCTGTATTAGCTGGACACTGTTTTAAGAGGTAAAACCGTAGTCACTCCCAATTCAATCAACATGATTAATGCCACATTTGTTTTACAGTATATAATTTTGTAGGGCCCTGCCAAGGGGTTAGGTCCGGTTCCATTCTGGGCTAAGAAAAGCACCCCCTGCTCGTGTTCCGGGTGTTGGATGAGAGGCGCAAGAGGTGCATGGTGATCTTGGTGGTTGATCTAGGTTGCTAGAATTTGAGTGCTGCAGCTTGTGCCAAGGTGCAAGAACCTGCATTCTTGGTGAGGTTTTGAAGAAAGAAGTAGTGCCTTGTAGGGAATATGGTATGTCCAAGGCTTCAGCCAGGATGTGTAGTGGGAGTCCCTTTGACAACATTCGGATGTCTCAATTCACAGAATTAGTTTCGTTTGCGCATATTGAGTATCATTAGTATGCTCGTTGGGCATGAATCAGTCACCTGTTGCAGTGCCTCCCCAGGACTGGTGTCATGGCAACTGGGTCTTGGGGAATCACGACAACCACCGTTTGATGCAACGCGACTTGGTATTTCACCTCCACCAGGGCGGGAGATAGCCGTCCTCGGCCACTTGAACTGCTTTTGCTCTCCAAGTTCCACAAGAATGCCCAAGAGGAACGACAGGATCATTTTCCAGTGCTTGCCTATTGATGGGACATGAGTACATGAGCATGGAGTGTGGTCACAGGCAGGAAACCGAACGGTCCTTTGCGTCGTTTCCTACCATCACACACATGGCTGCAACCGAACGATCTGTTTTTGCGGGACCACCGGATGGCTTGGACTTCAGAGAGCGACCTGAGGCTTGCATAACGACACCCGGCTGGCGACCACTGTGCCTTGTTCCCGACCCGGAACTGGGACGTTCATTCAGCGATGCTCGGGGTGTGAACGGCTCTGAAAGATGGCTTGGAAGGCTTGGAAGGCTCGGAAGGCTTGGTTTTCTGCCAACTGGTCTGGCAGTTGGAAGGCTTTCATGGGGCGGTTGTTTCTGGGCAAAGCTGTACAGCATGGGTCATGAGGGGCATGGTCACCTACTCCGGTGAAAAATGGCGGATGAGATGCCTTGGAAGTGAGTGCAGAGACGATGACACTCCACATCAATTGGACATGGAACTGCTCTGGTATTTTTCCTCTATACAAACCACTCTGGACTCAGACTCTGGACTAGAACAGGACGTCTTCTTCCCGCTCTTCCCCCCCTGCATGTTTGTTCCCGGGACTGCTGATTGATGTCCCTGGGACCTTCCAACTTGCGCATGGTGTTTCAGTGTCTGCATGAGGTCTACAACTTCTTTAACCTCTTGCCTGGCACTCCTGTCGTCTACCAAGGCTGAGCTGAAGCTGGATTCCGGTACGAAAGCAAATCTTTCATTGCTCTCCCGATCATTCTTTCGAGTGACATGTTTTTCCAATCCCTTGACATCTTCTCGGACACGAAGATTTCGAGGTTCCCGTCGTCCACGCACATCGAACTTCTTCGCTTTGCCCAGACGGTCTGGACGCCAGGGGATGAGATTGCCATGAGGGACGAGTTCATTCCGACGCTTGGCTTCGTTTCTTTTGTGGTGTACCAAAACCCTGATTTCTTGTGTGGTCAACTTTGGGACGCCTGGAGAGTCGTCCTAAATCTATTATATTAGACTTGTGCTGAATCAAATTGGAAGGATGTGATTCAACGAGACCAATCTCCAGACCTCAATGACGCCAGCGGCTCGGGTGTGACCTCTTCAGGTACGCCCTCTGCCGGGACCCCATGTGCTTGAAGAACCCTGAGACCTTCACCGTCTCGGGGCGCGACCCCGAGCGGACGCCAATGCAGTGGAGCCCAGGCAGCTCGGCACTGGGAAGCAAAGCAGCATTGGCTGCTTTGGAAAGACTTCATGTTCGGACCATGTATTCCATAGTGGCCCAATTACTTTACTTCAAGTGATCCTCACCATGACATGTCAATCAGTTGTTTTCATGCCATGGTGAGGAGCATGTTGCCATGGTGGGGTTGTGGTTCTCGATTTTGCTTGTCGGTCCTCGGGTTTGGGGTTGTTGCTTTAGTGTTGGGGAGTTCGCGTCGGGGTGTCACCGTGGTCCGCAGCTGGCATTCTATCCAAAGTGTGACCCTGTGACCACCTGCCACGCAAAATGCCACACACAGGTAATTATTTCTATTGTTGTGTTGTGTTGTGTTGTGTGTTGTGTTGTGTGTTGTGGTTGTGGTCAGAAATGAAGGCAGAGGATGTGCTGCGGCTACGAGTGTTCCAAAGGCGCCTAGGCGCCGGGCCCGGCGCTTGTTGGGCGTGCTATATGTCTTCTTTATCCACGGCGCTCAACCATTTTGTTTGTGGCTGTGCTTTGTTGGTTGTGTGTTTGTGGTTGCGTGTTGTGTGTTTTTGGTTGTGCTTGTGTTTTGTTGGCTTTCTTTTGTGTGTTGTGTGTTTGTGGTTGTTTGTGTTTGTTGTGTATTGTGAGAGCGCTTGCTGTTGAGGTCCGGGAGTGCACACTGCGATCTGGTGCTGGCTGTTGAGGTCCGGTAGTGCCCACTGCGATCTGGCTCTTGCTGTTGAGGTCCGAGACCGCCCAGTGCGATCAGACCTTTGCTGTTGAGGTCCGAGAGGACGAGTTGCAGCACCTCTCTTGAAAATCTAGCAAACTTTACCTGGCAGGTGGCGAAAAACCAACTCTTTTGAAGACCCGGGCTTCGTAGAACTTCCCGGTTTTCCTGCGTCGTGTGGTCGGTCCTGTTTGGCACTGCGGGAACACGCCCAGTACCAGCCAGGCCCTCAGGCCGGCTTTTCGAGCAATGCCAGTACCTGGCTTCCGGCGCGGATGGGTGGGAAGCTGGGTCGGAGAAGGAGTGGGGCGGACGGACGGGCGGGTAGAAATAATCTAGAGTTCGGTGCACTGCAGGAAGAGTAAGGGGAACTCAAAGGGGTTAGCAAGCAAGAAGTTATGTAACCAACAAAGGAACGTGTGCGCATGATGCAGATGCGCCCCTCCGGGGGAAAAATAGACCTCACAAATTGTGCTATGATACAATGATATGTTTTTTCTCCGCAGATTCAAAGGTTTCCAACCAGGAGATTTGCTTGTTGTTTGTCTACTCTCCTCTAGCCTTCAGCGGATGTTTTTCATTCTTTTTCAGATTCCAGTCTTCTTTCGGGAAGAGGGGCGCATGTATCGCTTGTGTAGAGGGGTATGCGCGTCTCATGGTTGTTGAGAATCTCCGTGCCGTTGTTGTTCATCGACATCCCCAAAAAAGTCGAAATACATAAACGGAGAAGTGGAATTTCAAGTGTTGGCAGTATCTTGCCCATCAATAAGAATGGAACGAACTTGCGCAGGTGAATTCGGACTATGTCACTGTGAACGTGGAGACCGCCGCTTGGCTTTCATCCGACAAAGCATGGGCTGGAAGGGGGCGCCAGGTAGTGTTATGTATGCAAGAAGGTTGAGCGCAGGACCCTCGATGATATTCAGCCTACAGAATGCAAGGGTTTAACCCCCCTACAGAATATTATCATTTTGTAGTGGAACCCCTGTGATTGGGCTCCCGCATTTTGTGCGCTGCAAACAGCGTTGGGTGTAACCATATTGTAATGGAAGGGAGATTCATGATCAGGGGTTGGGTTCCCTTTGTTCTGTAGAGGAGGTCCTGCATTGAGTTGAGAATCATGATGGATGATCAGAAAGATATAATTACTTCATTGACAACCGACAGTTTTTAATCTATTTTTGAGCTTGTTATTTTACTTTACTTTACCCATTTTTCTTGCTCTTGTCTCTTTCTTTGTGGCACTGACAAGTGTTCTTTTTGGCGCTGAACAAAAGTGTTCTTTTCTTTCCCGGGTTGGGGGCCAGTTTTGCAGAGTAGGGGAGCTTGTCAGTGGTGACCAGTGCTAGGAAAGTGGTTGAAGTGGAAGTCTTGAGAAAGAGGAAGAGGTGGACGATGGAGGGTAGCTCTGGTAGGGCCTGGTGGGTGCTACCAGTGTTCCTGGTGGTATTTGCTTTCAAGCAGGCTTACTTTACATCAACCATAGGCCCCGGGTCGCGGGCTGTAGATGAGTGAAGCTTGTGACCAACACCAGGAAGTGGTTGAAGTGGACATGTCAGTCCTGAGAAAGGGGCAGAAAAAGGAAAAATGAAGAGGTGGAGGTTAGGAGGGAGTTCTGGTAGTAGGTTGCGGCCAGGCTGTTGCTGGTGCTTTGAGAGGCGGGCAGGGTTGGGCCCTCCATTTTGCAGAGCAGGGAAGCTTGTCAATGCTAGGAAGGCTGCTGAAGTGAAAATGCCAGTCTTGAGAAATGGGCGGGGGAACGGAAAAAGGAAGAGGTGGAGGATGGAGGAGGTAGCTTTGGTAGGTAGGCTGTGTGGTGGGACCATGTGGATGTTACTGGGTGTTGCTGGTGTCTCTGCTTCTGTCAACTAGGTCCACTTTACATCAATCACACAGTTCAGCCCCCCCAACACACGGAACAGAAAGCGTTGAATAGTGTTCATGTTTTTTTATTATTATGCATTTTGTTGATTATCTGTGAGTGCTTGGAAACGCACACATTTCGAGGATTTTTTGCGGAGTCATCTTCACTACTAAATGGGACCCTAGTTGCAGCGCATGTCATTTTGTAGCTCTCAGTGGCCTTGGGTCCCTCCAAATTGTGCAATCTTCCAGGTCTTTCTCTACAAAATGGCTCCAACACTTTTAGGGGATTTTTGTAGAGATGGATGTTGGTGGTTGTCAATTAGTAGAGAAATTGTCTCCTTCCATTGGAACATCGCTTTGCTCAACAATCTCAATGTTTTCCATGCACATACCTGTTCAGCTTTGATTCAAGATTTATCTTTTTTCCCCAAACATACAAAACTCAAGCCGATATAACTTGATCAACAAGCGGGATGTTACACAGAAGCAAACTTAATTCCAAGCATCCATAGTTCAGTAGAAGCAAAGCCTGACAAGAATGCTCGACTCTTGCATTGGTATTTCGGGTCTATTTCCTCCAATCCGGGTAATTCGAAGATCGGGATGTCTACCCTACCCCCCAAAAAATCATATAGAACTTGGTCCGACAGGCGAAGAAGTTCTTGTCTTCCCATCCCCGCCAGGAACCTTCCCCAGAAAGTTTTCCCTCACGTCGATCTGTCGGCTGAACACCGAGCTTGTACGTCCAAAAATTTAGTTCCCGATCTTTCAGGCAACAAAAAACCGGACGCAGCGAGGTCACCTCGTCCCACACCAAAAGCCTCCTCCGGTCCTTTCTTGGGCTCTGAGGAGAAGGCCCAGAAGACTTCGCCCTGGTCGGTGATGAGGAGTGTCCTCCAGTGGCGGAAGAACCACTCGGAATTGGCCACTGGGAAAATTACCGAAGTTCCAGGAGAGCTGAGCTGTCGCGACTACTGGTCAGTTGGGAGGAGTGAGGCTGGAGGTCTCCTTGACAGGCGTTGGAGCCTGAAGATGAAGAGTGAAGAGCTGCATGGAGGTTCTAGGTTTGTATTTCTGCGTGAACCTGGAAAAGATTGCTTTTGAAGAGAGGAATTATTCTGGCATGATGCCGAGAATGCTTGCTGTGCTTCAGCCAATTTGGTGCTCTGGAGCTGGCCTAACTACTGCTGCATTGCCCTGACGAGGAGACTTCCAGGGGCCAGCGTTGCAGAAGGACTTGGTCTTGGTGAAGTTCACCATGGGCGACATGGTGCGATGGGCAGAAACAGGGCGTGAAAGGGTTGAGCTGTCGACTGGTTAATAGTGGGAGACACAGAACAGGAGTTAATCCAGATGAAAGGAATGGCAAGGTGGTTGTATTGGAAGGTAGATGACTACCACACGAGTTGGGCATGTGTTTTGAGTGTTCCCCAGCCTCTCGCAGGCTGCTGCTACCGTGGGCAACTGGAACTCGCCAGCCCGGCGCGTCCGTTGGGTGTTGAACAGGAAGTGCCCGACACCGTCAGCGAAGCGATTTTTACTTTCATCAAAACTGCGACAGGTTGCTTTCTGAAAGCAGAAGAAGGACAGGCAGAAAACAGGCAGAAATCCTGTTTACTGCGATTATGTTTTTGTCTTTAGAAAAAGCCGGAAAAGACTGGGAGTGGATCCAAGATAAGCATGGAGCCTGCTTGGATCCAAGCCATCTCTGAAGCTTGGATCCTTGCGAGGAAGTACTGCAGAATTGTAGGCCAGCACGGAAGTGACCTTCGCTGAATGCTGAGCTCCTGCCAGGGCCTATAGCTTGGCAATGGACCTTCCTTCATTGGTGAAGGCGGAGCTGCTCCAAAAGCACTTCCAACTGGGGAAGGGCTCCATTGTTTTGCTCACACTGCTGGCAAGAGGGTGCAGGATTTCTTCCATCAAAAGAGTGCGACACCAGTGTGACAATTCGGTGGTTGGTATCCGCAGAAGTAGCTTTACTTCCAGCACGGAAATAGGATGGACCCTTTGGTTTGCACAGTCCATGCTGGTTGCCCACAACTCGACATCAGAATCATAATGTGTTTTTTTGTTTTTGTGTTTTGCATTGATTGAGCCATTGGGTGTCAACCCTGCAAAGGAGGGTCTGACCAGTTGGCCTCCCTCAACAGCATCCCTCAACAGCACCCGTTGTATCCCGACTCTCGGGGTCTGACCAGTCACGTTTTGTTGGGCGATTCGATGCAGAGATAATACTCGTATCAATATGTATCAATCGGTTTACATGGGGAAAGCACACCAAGTCAATGAGATGTGAAAAACAAGGCAATGAGTGTTTTATTGCTGTGGATTTTATTGCTGGATTGACTCAACCTTACTACAATAAGCTACTAGGAACAAGTGCATCGCTTCTAGTAAAAAGTGCCTTACTAGCAGTAACAAGAAGCTAGTAGAATCCGTTTCCTTAGATGGAGATTGCTACGGAAGATGAGAACTCAACACCCTGTGAGATGGTGAGATGCTTTTTCAATGACGATGTGCACATACGCGGGGCAAGAGTCGAGCCAGGGACGATTAGGGGGATTCAGGTGCAAGTCGCTATTTGACAACGTCAAAGATCTATGATGTCTGAAGACATTATGAGACACATGAACTACTGTAGGAGTCTTTCAATCCTTGCTTTCCAGCAAGGAAGGGAACCTCTACAGGACATCCTGCAGCGCTGCGGTCGAAAGAGCTTTTGTTGACCACTGCTCTCTTCAAATCCCAGCAGATCCCGACAAAACCCGCCCTGCGGGGGTAGACACACACACATACGGAAGAGCTTCGAGCCATGTCAGTCAGGGGATATGAAGCAGTTCCTTGGGGCCAAACAGTGGGCCCAGTGCTCCTTTTCCCTCCGGGAGGCCTCTGGCGGAAGTGTCCAGATTCTCTTCTCCACCGACCCGGATCGAACCAAAGAGGCAAAGCGAAGAAACACCGGTCGCAGCCACTCAGGAACCGAAGACCATGGAGAGCCTCATGTTCCTCAAATGTGGGGTTGAATTGTCTATTGTCATTTGTTGTGCATGTTGAATTATACAGGGGAGTCAATTTTAGACCGGAAACATGCCTGGTGTGCCATGCTTCTAGCTGCCAAGGGTACTTCAAGACAAGGTGTTTTCATGTGATTGATTGATCTTCAATCCACTTCTTGAATCGGAGATTAGGATGAGTTCACTGCAAGGCCTGCCTTGTCACTGGAAGAAACCTGCCAAGCCTGGTTTTGCTTATTGGGGTGATATTTTGCCTGAGCAACTCTCCTTCTGGACAAGTTTGTTTCCGGGTTCCGGGTTCCTTGAGCAAATCCAAGTAAGGTCTCCGTGACTTTTTGTGTGGATGGCGAGAATGAAGAGGTCGAGCAGGTGAGACGCTCGTTGGGCATCGGTCACGACGATCAGCGAGGGTGGCGGACAGGTGGCAACGCCCTTCGTCCTGCTTGCCGGGGAAGTGGTGGTGATCACGTTTAAGGAGGAAATCCTGGAGACTTGGCCGTTGGGTGAGGTGCGATTTCCGTGTCCCGGTCGTCAAAAACGCGGGGTGGCAAGGGATCTCTGGGTCTCGACCCGGATGGGATTTGGATCTGCAAGGGTCTCCCCAAATGAGATCCCCACTATAACATACTTTCAGCATGAACATGATACACAGTGTACAGGTCCGTTAGATCAGGCTTCGAAGAGACAAAACTGAGTGAAGAGAATCTGGTGAAAGACTGCTAGGACCCTTGTTGTTCACTAACAATCTCTTGTTGATAACAACGATCGCATGTTCCTCATGTTCTAGTTCTCATGTTCCCGGTAGTCAAGAGGGATTTTGTGAGTTAGTCAAGAGCTGAGGGAGGTGAACAGCCCTTCAAGTGGCAATACCTTTTTCAATGTATTTACTCTCGGACTCACGTTCCAGACGAAGTGGAACGTCTGTTCCTAAGGGAAAAGGATCATCCAGGGGACCATGCCATCCACTTCCATGTTAGTGAGTCAGAGTATGGCTGGAAATTGAATTCCCAACATGGAACTTACTTTTGGTGGAGCTAGGTAAGACTTCTCGAAGGATTTCGAAGGTATGTAGCATTGCAAATGACACCCTCTTTTCTTTGATGAGCGGTGCTCCAACATCTTTCGCTGGTCAACCTCGGCAATGCCAAGTCCTGAGCAATCATCAAGATTCTTTTGTCTCCGGAACCTTTCCAAAGGATGAAGAAACCATGGTGTCAAGTGCCAACAGTTCAAAACATACGAATGATTGGTCGGGGAATCATGGATGTTCAGCAACTGTTTGCCTTGATCCAAGCCCCTTGGCCACCATCAAAAAAATTGCTTAGATCCAAGCCTGAAGCTGTCAGGGCCCGGCAGCCCAGCGACAAAAGCACAAAACACCTTGGAACATGGACACCCCGGGGAGATTTGCGTTTGCAACTTGTGTCATGCAGAAATACACCAATCGGATATTTGTTCCCTTTACTTTTGCCGGATGAACGTGCCCAAAAGTCTCACGCGGAGCATATATAGATCATGACACTCAGTGGCTCCACCGCTTCCGCGGTTTTGGAGAAAGAACCCAGCTTTGGGGATGGGATTGGTTCATGGGCCCTTTGAAGAGAGATTCAAGTCTATTTTAGACAACGTTCACCTAGTAGATCGCTTGCTTCCGTATGGCAGTCCAAGAAGTCTTTTGCTCCGCATGGCTCCACATCCGCACGTGGCACCGAGGCTAAGGCATGGAGAAGTGAAGATGTAGTGGATCTTTAGGCCGCACCGCATCTGGGCTTTAGGCCAAGCTTCGGTGTCCCATTCGACTGGCCGAACCGGGGCCCCGTTGGATGGGCCGAACCGCCACTTCGAGGGAAGTGGCCGAACCCGACATTTGAAGCTTCGCTTTGGCCTGATGGAGCTGGGATGAAGCAGGACAAGTTTTTGGCCTGACATGGGGCAAGCACGACTCCTAAGATTAGATCGCCCCGAAGTCTCATTTCTTTTTAGGCCAGGCATCCCATGCCTTATCCCAGCATGCCAGAACGCATGTTCTTGAGATGCTTGATTCTGAAAAAGTGCCGGGCAGGTTCTCGATCGTTTCTCTCCCGACCTTTCTTCGACTGCTTAGCCAATTGAGACTGAGACACCTATATAGATTGTAGAAACACATTAAACATAATGCAACGGTTGTAAATACTTGAAGGAGGTGTTTCTTTCTTTGGACCTGTAGACATTTCTTTCTTTTTTTTACTTCTTGAATATCAAAACTGGACCCAGCTTGGACAGAAATCTCAAGCTGCTCCTTGTGCTTCTTCGGTCAAAGCAGATAGGGTGTTTTTTGTTTTCGCCGAGGTTTCTCCTGGGGAAATGGGGCAGGGAGATGAACTACCGAGTTCGCAGCGCCTTGCAGGACAAACGCTCCGGGACGCATGCGGGGGGCTGGTAGCATGTTTCGTTGGTTCTTATGCAGTTCTTATGCATGTGGGTGGTTTTAGCAACTCTTGAAGATGACGTTTGAATTTTGCGAGCGGAATCACGTTTTTACATTACTATATATTTAATGAACACATATATACACCGTACACAGTTGTTTCCTTCCTTGGCCATTTGACGTCCCACCTTGAAGACGTCACTGGGCTGCCGCGGGTTGTCACCGTACACAGCTGACTCATGATTTGAAGTACTATGAAATGCTGATTGAAGCAGACAGTGAAAAACACTTGAGCATGTCATTTGTGAATGTCCAACCCTGAGTGTTGTTAAAGAAGAAACACAGCCGCTAAACAACACGGGAGGTGCCGATCACAGTCATACGAGACACAAATTTCCTAGATGGCTCTTGGATGTTTGGACCAGACGCGGAGAAAAAGATCTTTCGAATCTGGATCTCTCAACAAGACAAAGACATGATGAGTCACTGGTTGTCCCCAGATTCTGTGAGCTGATTGAACCAAAAGAAAGGCACTCGGCAAGGTCGGATGGAGACCCCCATGCTGAGCGAAGTCATGAAGTCATGACATCCACGCTGAGCTCCCTTCAAACTCCCCAAGAAGACTTTTAGAAGGGGGTTCAATTTCGCACCAAACTTGGGGCCCCGGTGTCATCGACTCTCATTCCACTAAGTCTTAGTCTTAAAGGAACTCACCAAACTCTTCCATGCATCTCATCCAGCTCACATGACTTCTTCATACCATTCTTCGACACAACCAAACTCCCTGGAACCAAGGTGCTGTGATGAGGCTGGGGAACAATCCCATCACTGCGATTTCTGTTGGTGCGACATTGGGTGGCCTGAAACACATCCTGCATGAAAGACTTCTTCAGAGCTTGTCAAAGCATGTTTGTTGTATTTTGTGTTTGAAAAAGGGTCCAAAACAAACACGTTCTGGGATAGACTAGACGAAACCTTGATGCCGGGAGTGAACGAAATTGGTGCCTCTGTGAACCAAAAGAGTACGGACAGAGGTGCCACAACCTGCCAATTTGGAGTCGTTTTGGCACCATGACAAATGGTCTCTGATAGTCTGCTGGTTTTCCATTATGTTTGGTATTGGCAAGACATGGCAAGACGATCTTTATGAAACCCATCGATCTTTCTCACTGAGAGGTGCAAATTGGCAAATCCTTTTTTTTGGCAAGAAGCACCGAAGGATGATCCCAATGATGTCTTTTGAGAATAATAGAGGGGTGGGTTTGGTACCATATACCAATTGGTTATCGTTGGCTGTACACTGGCGGGGGTATCCATTAATCAATCAATACTGTAGTACAAAAAACCCATCAACCCTTGTTGGTGGTTGGTTGACTAATGGATGGATACCCCCCCAAGTTGCTAAGGGTTGATCAACCAATTCACCCAATAGAGGATCAACAGTATCAACCATTGTCGGTGAAGTCTCACTTGGGGCAGCGGCTGGAACACACGAATTGAACCTGGACATGGCGAAGCAGCCGGCGAAGTCCACAGCTGGGCATTATCGGACACCTTCATAGCCTTACATAAACCAGTGGATCAACTGCAATCCTAGAGTTCCAAAATGGTACAGCCAGCCATAGAGTTCATTCTCTTTCTGCCCTCTTGAAGGCCACAAGGGTTCCGGTTCCCAAGGCATCCAAAGACTCGGACCTTCTTTTAGGATCCTTTAGGCGCGGTCTCCCAAAACACCGCGGGTCGTTTTCATGGTGGATCCACCATGATCCACCACCGGTATCGCTGGAGCTCTGGAGCTCGGATCAGATCATCCAGGTATCCCTGGAACTCCAAGAAGGAGGTGCTCTTTTGGCGTGGCGGCATGACCGGCAAGCCGAGAAGCCTAGGAGCTCGCGGCGCGAGCCGATCTTCCGGGCGTTCAGCGATTCTGACCGGGTGGAGTGACCGTTGGGAATGAGAGAGTGAGAGAGTGACACTCTTACCAGTCGATTTGGTAGGGAACCCCTAAATGGTTCGACGAATGGACGAATGAAGCACCTGCCTGTTTTCGCTGGGTTCTTCTCGTGCTTGTGGATTTCAAGTGTGTTTCGCTCTTGGGAACTCTGGCAGAATGCGGCATCGGGCTGCTCTCTGGGCCAAAGGAAACGGCTGAATACGCAGCTCAGAATACGGCTGAGAATACGCAAGCAACCTACAGTGTGGGGTGGTAGTTTCAGATTTTACAGGATGCGCCATATTTGGACCCATCTATCATGCTAGGTTGGAGGCCATTCCTAGTAGGTTGGACGTCATCGCCATTATCTTCTTTTCATATTCATTTACTGTAATTATCATCTTTCTTGTTAGTTTATCAATGTTTATCATGAAATGGATTAATTATTTATCAAGCTATGGCTTGGTGGCTCTGCCCAGGTGGCTCTGCCCAGCTCACATGGGCGTCCTGGCAGAGATCGTGGGGTCGGATTTGGCGCTTGGACATGGTTCGCAGTCATTGATTTGCTCCTGGAACCTCAAGAGCCAGGGTTCCGCAAGCAACCAGGTTTGAGTTTTCCCAATCAACCAGGTTTGATGTACCGAACCTTAAATTACTCTTGCAGTCGGAGAGCCCTTCTTTTTGCTTGATCCGTTGGTTCCATCCGATCCGTTCGAGGCGATTGCATGGCGCTTCAGGACCCCTTTTTTGGGCCAGGGACTGCGTGCCTCCCGTGGTGCGGGACGCAGTGCGACGAAAGTAGGGAATGAAGGAATGACTCCCAACCGAACGTAGAGTCCTTGCTAGCTACTAGTAGTAATGGCCTCCACCCTAGCAGCGATGGCCTCCAACCTAGAGCGACGAAAGTAGGGAATAAAGGAATGACTCCCCACCAGAGATTCAAGAAATACCTTAATTAGGATTCATCCCCCCAGATTTTACAAGCCGCACGAGTCAGTTGATCAGGAAACAGAAGTTGGAAGCGGTTCCGGTCGTGCCTTCTGGAGCATGTTTTAACCCGCCCAAATATGGTCTGACTTGTGGGTGTCCTTCTCTTCTCCGGTTTGGTCCAGCTACCTTCGTCCCAGGGTTTGAAGAGATACATGTGTGTAAAGTGGTCCCCAAATAGATAGTGGCACGGTGTCCAATACATTTTCTACGTGGGGAACTACGTGGGTCTATAGATCTATATAGTGACCAACTGAGCAGATTCCGGGCCAGAAGCCAATCTCAGTGATCAGGCAAACCCGAAGGGTCTCTGGTCTCCTTGCTTAGCAGGACCTGGGCCGCGCCAAGCAGTGGAACCTCACGCGTTTCGGCGGCGCTTTTTTTCTGCTGGGAGGGGTCCACATCTGGCGGATGAAGGTCTTTTTGAAGCTCCAAGAGATTCCAAAACATGTTGGACTTCTGGAGTACTCTCAGGTTGGCGAATAAATAGTAGTCACAGCATGAATTGTATCACAATGTTGCACGGATTTCGCTGGAACCTGTTGCCAGGTCTTTGTGGGTACCCTTGCTCGCATGGCTAGGACCAGAGTTACCAGACGTTATATAACGAGGACCACTTGATGATCGGCCATCGCCAACTTCAGTCTTTCCTTCAAATGATGATTCTACGCAATTGATTGGACCAACGACACGGCCAAGAAAAGACAGACAAAACGCACCCAAAACGACGTTGATTTATAGAATGATCACGGCGAAGAAACGGCTGATGAGTTTTTGAGTCCCTTGATACAGTTGCAAGGGCTTAAGAAACAGGTTGAGAAAGCATTTCAACATGGAGCTTGAAGCAGGTCAAACTGGGGGAGGTTCGTTACTGAGTTGGACATTAGATATCCTCATCCTCATTTTCTTTGACGTGTATAGTATACTTAGTCGGGACGGACGCCTAGATAGGATATCACAGTTCTTGAAGCAAGAGTGGGCCTCCCCAGATCATCCAAATCTCAATTTGTTAGAGACCCTCTCATCTCCCAGAATGCTCTGCAAAGCCGTGTCAAACACCGCCCGACGGATTCCACAATTCTCAAATCACCAAGGACCATCTCCGGACTTTGGAACATCGCCCATTCGGGCATCGGTCGCAGACCTCTCTTTGGTGGGTCGCAGGGAGTCGTCCTCGTTCCGACGCGACGCGTCTCGTCCTCGTTCCGACGCGTCGCGCGTCGAGGCATTGGCATCTGGGCCTGAGGGGTCGTGCCATCCTCTTGCAGAGCTTCGCGCCACCAGGTCCGATGACATCGATGCGAGTAGATCGCTGTTTGAGCGCTTTTGAGCGCTTTTGAGAGGGTGAGACGAGAGAGGATGAGAGAGGTGCGTTTGCGGGTTTAGAGTGGTTCTGACGAAAGTTCCAACTGGAAGACCAGAGAGACATGACAGAATGCTTTTCAATAATGAGCGCTTGTGTAATATAAACATTGATCTTGATTCCGCAGAATCAACCAGCACTTTCTGTTCGCATCATGACCCTCACATCCAGCTGCATGATTTCCTCACGACGTTGCGGCGCAGGCTATGTGGATATGAAGTTCACCAGCGACGTGGGAATGACCGACGAGGCTCCATGGCTTTTTCGGAAGTGGAGGTTTCTGCCAATTGCCAAGCTCAAAAGGACATGGGCTAGC